TACACAATATGGTGAATTGCAGCAGGAAGCATTTATTTGAGATTGAGTTTTATATTCAACTCGATGCTGCTTACAGCTTTTCGTGCTAACGGTAGGAGAATCATTCACTCTACAATCCTCCGTAGAAGCATTAATGGGAGTAATGGCTGGTGGTATAGTGGAAATTTGATGTTTTTTAGGCCGACGCGGTATACGAACCGGTGAACGAGCACTGAAACCTGTAATGCGACGACGCGAATGCCGAACTATAGAAATCCAATCGATCATAATTCTTGATTTATATTATTCAATAACTTTTTGGAACACTTCTTTTATACTTTTTTGTTAAAAAAAAGTTAAGCTAGAAAACATAATTCTTTGTCTGTATTTTTTTAATAAATTTTTTTATTTAAAATTTCCTTTAATTATTATTTTTATTAAAAGATGTTTGTTTATTTAATCACTTTTTTAAAGATTTTAATTAATGTTTTATAATTTTGTTTTTAATACTCGTAAAATGTTGGCATATTTGTACAAATATATAATTTAGTCATGTGTGAAAATGGAAAATATACATAATATTTTTTGGTTGTTAATTAAACATTTCTCATTTGTTTTCAAAATTTGTTCTTCTGTTCTTTCAACAAAAATAGTGAATACTGGGCGTTTTTAATGGTGTAAACATAAAGAAAATTTTTAAATCACAAATTATTCAAAAATTAAAAAAAAATATTAAGCAGACGGCTGCTGTCTGAGTAATGAAAATTTTCAACTGAAATCCAAAATACAAAAAAAAAACACAAAACGCACACACTCACTAAACAACAAAAACAATAGGCAAAAAAACGAAAAACAATATTCCAAATATACTTGTGAATATTTCTAAATATTTTGTATTTAATTGTCAGTTGGTCATCATTAACGTAATCATTATAATGTTGATGATGCTTATGACGTTCATTATTATTGTTTAACTCATCTCTAGCATCATCATCATCATCATCACCATCATTTTGGCTATTTGTTTCACAACAATGAGAGTAAAAATAAAGAAAATTCTTTTAAAAAACTTTTATAAACCGCAAAAAAAGAAATCAAAAGCTAAAATAATGTAAAAAAGAGTTTTTCTTTTTATTTATTGGAAAAAAAGAAAAACAAACTGCCGTGTTGTTTGGTTCGAAATTAATGCACAACGAGAATATCAGACACATGCGAAACACAACAAATTTTAAACTAAATGGAAATTGTTCAATTCTATTTCCTCCGTCTGAAAAATACAAAATATATTCTGTGTTGCTGTTTTTTTTTTTTTTTTTCATCTTATTTCAAATTCTGTTTATGTGAAAAAATACAGAAGAAAATAAATGTATGAATAGACTTTAGTACGAGTATGAAAAGTCAGAGGCGTTGGAGAAGGAAGAGTGATTTTTAGTTGCTTTTCAAAATGTATTTTAAAGTTTTTAAAAAAACAATAAATCAGAATAGAAAATTGTCGGGAAATATACTTTTTATAGAAAATTTTTACGATATTTTTTTTATAGATAATATTGGGGAAATTTTCTCTTTATAGAAAATGTTTGAGAAATTTTCTCTTTATAGAAAAATTTTGGGAAATTTTCTCTTTATAGAAAAAATTTGGGAAAATTTCTCTTTATAGAACATATAGAAATATTCAGTTTATAGAACTTATATGGAAAATTTTCTGTTTATAGAAAATATTTTGGACATTTTCTCTTTATAGAAAATTTTTGGGAAATTTTCTCTTTATAGAAAAATTTTGGGAAATTTTCTCTTTATAGAAAAATTTTGGGAAATTTTCTTTTTATAGAAAGATTTGGGAAAATTTCTCTTTATAGAATATATTTGAGAAATTTTGTCTTTATAGAATACATTTGGGAAATTTTCTCTTTATAGAACATATTAGGAAAATTTTCTCTTTATAGAACATATAGAAATATTCACTTTATAGAACTTATTACAGAAATGTTCTCTCTATACGACATATTTAGGAAATTTTCTCTTTATAGAAAATATTTGTGAAATTTTATCTCAATAGAAAATTTTTGGGAACTTTTCTCTTTATAGAACAAATTTGGGAAATTTTCTCTTTATGGAACATATTAGGGAAATTGTCTCTTTATAGAACAAATTTGGAAAATTTTCTGTTTATAGAAAATATTTTGAACATTTATTCTTTATAGAAAATTTTTGGGAAATTTTCTCTTTATAGAAAAATTTTGGGAAATTTTCTCTTTATAGAAAAAATTTGGGAAAATTTCTCTTTATAGAACATATTTGAGAAATTTTCTCTTTATAGAAAAATTTTGAGAAATTTCTCTTTATAGAACATATTTGAAAAATTTTCTCTTTCTAGAAATATTCACTTTATAGATCTTATTTCAGAAATATACTCTCTATAGAACATATTTGAGAATTTTCTCTTTATGGAACATATTTGGGAAATTTTCTCTTTATAGAACATATTTGGGAAAATTTCTCTTCATAGAACATATTTAGGATTATTTTTTTAGAACATATTTAGGAAATTTTCTCTTTATAGAACATATTTGGGAAATTTTCTCTTTATAGAAAATATTTCGGAAATTTTCTCTTTCGAGATCTGAATACTTTTGAAAATTTATATGAAAATAAGTAAATTTTTTTAAAACACCTATTGGTTTTTCTAACTATTCTATAAAATATTATTTAAACAATATATAAATAAAAAAAATACCATAAAAATTTGCATAAAACAACTCTTATTAGCCCCTATTAACTTAGGCGCCCTAACAATTTTTCACCCACTTTCCATGTACTAATTAAAACACTTTTAGTCTCTATATATGTGTAAGTGTGAATATATTTGTATTAACAAATGAATGAATGATGATGACTGAAAAAAAAACAACGTTCAGTAGAATTTTCAAACAAACACCTAGTCCGTTCCGTATATACAACATACTTAGTAATGTATGCATGTATTCCATATGGTCTGCTCTTTTCATAATGTTAATAAAATGAAAAGCTATCTTCCTATAAACTAAAAGAAAGAAACAAAAGCAAAACCAACAACACTTTTTTTTCTAATAGCGACACGTACGCTTAAGGTATACACAACAAGTTTATATGAATGAATTGGATGTGGATGAGGTACTTACTGAGAGGTATCAGTAGTTAGCATCAAACATCATCATAATCATCATTATTACCATGAGCTAGTGTATTAAACTAATAGGTGTTAAAAAATTATAAAACTTTTTAAAAGCATCATCTAAAGAATAATTTATGTAATTGTTTAAAAATATTTCAAATTTATGTCTTATTTGTGGTCAACATTATTTGACCAATGCCAATAAATCAATAATAATGTGTTTTTAAATGTTATACAAACAATATTTTATAAAAATATATATGTATAAATACATGAATATTATATAAAATAAATTTTTGATCTTTAAAATGTTCAATCAATCGTTTTTTTATAGTGTAAATAAATTTATTGTCTGGTATGATAGATGACAGCTTGGAAGGCTATATAATGAATTTTTGCAAGGAAAATAACTGAAAGTAAATTTAGTTTTTTCTTTTTGGCAATTGTGTGCCATATTGATGTTTTCATTCCATTTAATTGAACATGTGTGTAGCAGCGTATGCAAAAATTTATTTTCAATTATCTTTTGACCCAAAATTTGTTCAACCATAAAAACTTATAAACCTGTGAAAAAGGCTTAGTTTCGTTGACTATTTTATAAAAAAAAAATATTAAATTTAAAATTTTTGAAAATTTGTCCATCCACCAGAGAGAGATTTGCAAGAGATTAATCGATTAATTTTTACAAGAGATTACATTCGGAAATTTTCATAATCATCATTTGTTTATTGGAGTACCTTTTTTGATCGCAGAAACATAATCGAATTGCATAATAAGGGAGTTTGAAAATTTTTCTCGTTATAAAATTTTTTTTGTAGAACGAAATTTTCTCTTTATAAAACATTTTAGGGGAATTTTCTTTTTATAAAACATTTTAGAGAATTTTTTCTCTTTATAAAAACTTTGGGGAAATTTTCCCTTTATAGAAAACATTTTTGGAAATTTTCTTTTTTTTAGAGATTTTCTATTTTAGAATATTTTTGGAAAATTTTCTTTTATAGAAAATGTCTTTTATAAAATATTTTTGGAAAATTGTATCCTTATAGAAAATTCTTGGGAAATTTTCTTTTTATAAAAAATTTGCTTTTAGACAACTTTTGTGAAATTTTCCATTTATAGAAAACATTTTTAGGAAATTTTCTCTTTATAGAAAATGTTTCCAAAATTATCTCGATATAAAATTTTTGGGAAATTTTCTCTTTATGAATATTTTCTCTTTACAGAAATTGTTTATGAAATTTTGTCTTTGAATAAATTTTTACTTTTCTTTTGGAATATTTTTATGGGAAATTTTCTCTTTATAGAAAATTTTTGGGGAATTTAAATTTTTTAAATTTTTGGGAAATTTTCTCTTAATAAAATATTTCTAGGAAATTTCTTCTTTATAGAAAATGTTGAGAAAATTGATGATTTTTTTTTTTTTTTGCTTTTCTTTAGAACTTTTTTTATAGAAAATTATTGAGAATTTTCTCTTTAGGGAAAATGATCTCTTTATATGAAATGTTGGGTAAAATTTCTATTCACGGTAATTTTTTATAATAGAAAATTGTCGATAGAATTTCTTTGTAGAAATTTTTCCGAATTCTGAGTTTTTTTCTTTTTAAAAAATGTTCATTAAATTTTTTCTATTTTAGATAATTTTCATAAAATTTTCGATAAATTGTTTTTAAAACCGTAGAAATTGTTCAAAATCTATGACAATGACATGCCGATCATTGTCACATTTGATATTGTAATGTGTATGAGTTCTCGGAGAAAGTAAAATCAACTTTGTCCCTTAGACTATAGATACGTTATATATCAAATTGTAAAAATACTTTACCACTGTGTTTATGTTATATATAAAAGAATATATTTCAATTCTACTTACATCAGCAATTTTAACGGTATGACCATCTTGTTCCCATTTACTGGCAATTTGTAAAGTTTCAACTGTTTTTTGCTGTATAGTTTTTGAATCATCTAGCAAGGTTAGCTCATAGAATTCTTGAATATCTATAATAAAGTCAAAAGAAATGAAATTAACAAAACAATTGAGCAAAAGTAAAGGATAAACTAAAACTCTAATAAAATAATCTAACATATACAGTATAGTTAAGTATTACAATTCACAATTATACACCTAATATCTTACTTTTGTTGTTGTTGTCATTAAATTCAAACAATAAAATGTTGTATAAATATTTTGTCAAATTCTTAATGTATTTATTGAAAATCATAGAGCAGTTATTTATTTTTTATAATAACTTAATTTCACCTTATCTGTGTTGTGAAAGAATTTCACAAATACACACTAGGCGTAACTTTATCTTACAATAATTTAATATAAAATAATCTTTTTTCAATTTTCTTTTTACAAATTATCATTAAGCATTTCTCATGAGACCGTATTAATAGCTGGAAAAGGATTCTGTTTGGAGACCACCAATTTATTATGACTATGCGATATGTAACCCTTGATTTTGCCCTCATAAATTAAATTCGCCACTATACAATGCGTCTCATCGATAGTCATATCAGTCTCGCCCACAAACTGCAACGCCGAACGAAAAGCATTTAAATCCAATTGATGTGTTTGCTTAATTAAGTAGACTTTCTTGAAAAGATTGCGATAGACAATGAACTTGAGTTTTTCCACCAACAAATAAATGCCACATTTAATAAAGAATATTTCATGTCGTTGTATAACATCATCGAATTTGCGTACATTGCCCTCCTTGAGTGCCTCAGCCAATTCGTGAAATTGTAAAACATCATAACGTTCCAAAATAGATTTTTTCGGCAAATAGCCAAGTAACATTTTAACGGGCACCAAATAGATGAGTATTAAACGTTTATTGCGCGGAAAATTCTTGGGACAATGTTTTAAGGCAAATGAAAGAAACTCATCGGCACTTTTGTAATCAGAATCGAACATGGCCTTACGACCCACAAAGTATTTGTATGTTATACGTTCGGGCAGTGGAAACATATCTTTAAATGCACTCGAATCTATGGCACGAATGAGCGGTTTACACAGATGCAGCTTATTAATGCGAAAATAAACTTTAAATAGTTGATTGACCAGATTTAACATGCCCAAACGTTTGGTTTCATTGTCTGAGGATCTAGAAGATGGAGAAAAAACACAAAGTGAATATATTACTTAATTTAATGAGATGACAGTTTATTTTATCACTTACCTGTTATCGGCGGCACACACACGAAAACAGCTCATTAAACAATCAGCAGCCTTTTCTAATATTTCTCCCGGTTTCGAGCTATTGCCCAGTTCTTCGCAATGTTGAGCTAATATTCTTAAATCCAAGCAGGCAGTGTACATTACTGGCAAACACCAGTTTTCCTCTTTCAATTGCTGCAACATTTTCACCACTGACTGTATGCATTGTGATTGATATTTGTAGGCTTGCATAAAATCTCTGGCTAAAACAAAAGCACATTCAAGTAAGGAAGTATAATAGGAAATGGATTTAAGCAATGGATGATACCCTACACCAGCTAATAGTAGAGAGACTTGTCTTTAGCCTTAAATATATTCCAAACTCGACTATAGTCAAAACTATAAATTTAATTATAGTCTCATTAATAGACTTGAATATTATCTGATTTATAGACTCGATTGTAGGCTATAGACTATACTATAATCTGACCTATAGAATCGTTTAAGTTTTCTTCTATAGAATCAACTATACTCCGTTCTAAAGAGTCGGCAATAGTATTTTCTCAAGATTCGACAGTATATAGACTATAGTTTGGTCTGGACTTAAGTCAGTAGCCAGACTGTTGCATCTGGTGTAGGATAGTCAAACTTGCTGTTGCCTTATACCAACAATACTTACGTTCCAACCATAAATAATACAACACTTTTATGTGAGCACAAACAATCTCATCAATGGGCGATTCCAGTAGACGATTTACGGCATTTTCCGGATTCTGTACATAGAGATTACGATTCATAATATGTTTATCTTTGAGAGATATATAGGAAGCCAACATTTCACCATCGCCATTTGTCCAAACACGATGGACACTGCTCAAGTAATTGTTTAATGTGCCGAACATTATGTTAATTTTTTTTATACAAAACTCTTTTGTTTTCAGTTCTTTAATAAATATTTTTGCTTTTTTATTATGTTCACTTATTTATTTAGTTTTTTGTCGGCAAGAAATACATTTTTGCACAAAAATTATACACGGACTGTCAAAATGAAAAATACCGCACACAAACGAGACTCGAATATTCTGGCATGTTATGTGAAGGCGTTGCCAAGCTAAATTTTTTGAGTAAAATGTTGCCAACTGTGAAAAATTGTCATTTTAATGTGGCAATATTTTAACAGTTTACAGAGAAGGCAAATAAAATAGTACAAGTGAAGCATTTGCAACCCGCGTAAAATATTTCGTTGTTTAACTTTTTTAACTATATGATATTGTTTATATACAAAACTAATGACTAAACTAGGCTATAGAATAGACTATAAGCTAGTATATACTATAGACTAAACTATAGTCTAGTCTATATTCTATATACAAGACTATGTACTAGACGATAGACTAGATTTCTATAGTCTAATAATATATATATATAGTCTAATATATATAATATACTAGACTACAGTCTATACTGTAATATATATAATGACTAGACTATAGACTAGAATATAGACTAGAATGTAGACTAGACTATAGATTTGAGACTAAACTATAGTCTAGTCTAACTTCTAGTCTATAGTCTAGTCATTAGTCTAGTCTATATTCTAGTCTATAATATAGTATAGATACTAGACTATAGACTAGACTTCAATAGCCTAATCTATAGTTTTGTATATATAATATAGACTAGACTATAGACTAGACTATAGACTAGACTATAGACTAGACTATAGACTAGACTTTAGACTAGACTATAGACTAGACTATAGACTAGACTATAGACTAGACTATAGACTAGACTATAGACTAGACTATAGACTAGACTATAGACTAGACTATAGACTAGACTATAGACTAGACTATAGACTAGACTATAGACTAGACTATGAACTATACAAAAATCTTTCTTGCAGTTAATTTGAAACAATCTTAGAAATTATAAACTAAGTTTTTATAAAACTTACCTAATAAAGCTTGGAAAAGACGTGATTTAAATATACGTATGACACGTTCAATGGCAATGCGTAGAGCACGATCCTGTGGCTCTGATAATCTTGAATGATAATCCTCTAAAAGCTCAAGAGCACGATGAGCCTCTGTAAAACAAAAAAATACCAACAAATTAAAAATTTAATTAATACTCCTTACAAAACGAAAAAGAACAGAAATAAATCATAATTTACTCTTTTCCTGTGACATTTCATCATACGTTTCAATTTCACTGGCCTGGCCAAAAATTGTAGACCAATAGCCACGCTCCTCGGCATTCGAGGCAATATTCATAGCATTGCGCTGATCGATGGTGTCTATTAACAAATCGAATCTATTCAATTGATTATGTAAACTTTCCGATATAGTTTGATCATACTGGGAAGGCTGACGCGAAGAACTGCGTGCCTCAAATTCCTCCTTTGAATACAAACTATCGGATTTTTCAAAATAACCCGATTCAACATCAGGCGTACGAGACTCATGTCTACGCAAAACATGTTCGTATTCAAAAAGATCATTGGCTGAATAGAAAAAATCCAATGATTGATTGGGACTGTCAGTGGATTTGGAAATGGTTTTCAGTTTTAAAGCTTCTTCAGTGAAGGTCTCGTCTTCGTCGACTTGTGATTCAATAACCTTTATATTCGTTGTTATTGCTGTTGTTGACGGTTCATGAACAGTGTCATTTAATTGACATTCTGCTTTTTCTTTCTTTTCTTCCAAACTGCTGCAGTTAGCATTATCGATTTCTTGAATAATTTCTACGGTTTCTGTTTCTAGTTTAACCTTTTCGTATTCATGTCCATTTGATGTTCTATGAACTTCGTTATTATTAGAGTTGGATAGATTGGGCGAATCTTCATCATCGGAATCATTGCTACTAATAACAGGCTTATCAGCTCCTTCCTCGGTGTCTTCACTAACAGAAGATTCATCCGTTTGATGTAGTGGTTTACGTTTGAGTTTTGAAAACTCATCATAGACTAAGTCAGCTGCAGTTTCATCATTGTCATCGCTATTTTCTAATAATTTATCTGTTTCAGTTTCAATCTCCATTGAGATTTTGATTATTTTTTGTCTAGTTCTTTTTTTTATATGACACAATGGGCTTTCAGTTTAATATTCTATTGTGTTTGTTTGCCTTTTTTTAGGGACACAAAAAAAGTGATGTCTTTAGTTCTTAAGTCGGAATTGAACT